TTTTACATTTTCTGCACATCTCTTGAATGTCTGGCTTACAAGATAGCTGGATTATCATATCTGTTTGTGTGTTCAGTCTTTTGTTATACATTGTCTTAGCTGAAGTATGTGAAGAAAATCAGGGGGCCAGCCCCGTGACAAAGTGGTTAAGTTCGTGCGCTCTGCTTTAGTGGCCCAGGGTTTCACTGGTTCGTATCCTGGACGCGGACCTAGCACCACTCACCAAGCCGTGCTGAGGTGGCATCCCACATATCACAACTAGAAGGACCTGCACCTGTGTACTGAGGAGCCTTTGGGAGGAAGAAGAAGAAAAGAAAAGAAAAGATTGGCAACACATGTTGGCTCAGCTGCCAATCGGAAAAAAATAAATTAGAAAAGAAAATCAGGCCTTATACAGATGTGTAGCTAGAAAAAGGAAGAGTATTTTAATAGTCTTTCAGATTGTTGTGGATATTCTTTGATTTCTACCAAAACACAGGTGTTTGGAAGATTGATTGCAATATGAAATCTGAAACCACATCAGTGAACATTTCACATTCTCTTACATTAAAATCCATTAATCTAGCTTGTGCTTTGAATTCCTCTTTTTATCTCCCTGCATGATTTTGTAACATCATTCTTTGGTCATTTAGAACACAGTGCTTTACTGAGTAATGCAGATCTTCCAAGTTGTTGACACATTTCATTATACACTACCAGAAACTGGTATTTGTTAATAGTATCGCTGATATTCTCAGAAAAGTCCGTTAAGTATCGAGGACTTGATGTGCTTATGGTGGTAGATGTAAGTTTTCCAAAATCCAAATTTTCATTCAACATTCTGACTTTTTGTTTTTGGTAACATATGCTGTCACTTATTTTCCTTGATGTTTATTTTTGAGAAAATGTCTGCCAGATTCCTAAGTCTGAGTAATCGTGGTTTGTCAGTCAGTTGTACTTTCAAATAAAAATGATGATCCATGAGGGCCTGGCACCGTGGTATGGTAGTTAAGTTCAACATGCTCTGCTTTGGCTGCCTGGGTTCGTGGGTTCAGATCCCAGGCACAGATCTACACCACTTGTCAGCCATGCTGTGGTGGTGACCCACATATAAATCGGAGGAACACTGGCACAGCTGTTAGCTCAGGGCTAATCTTCCTCAAGCAAAAAAACGAGAAAGATTGGCAACGGATGTTTGCTCAGGGCTAATTTTCCTCAGGAAAAAAAAGATCCCTGCAAAAAGTTGCTAGTTCAGCTTACAAATCAATCCCACAAAAGGTTTTCCTTGAGCCAGAATTGCTTTATAGGTACTTCCCACTTTGTCACAGAGAATATGAAAAAGATGGGTATTCAAGGATGGGTGTACATTTAACAGAGGTAATTTTTTTTCTTTTGTATATGTGTTTTCTTTGGTTTACTTTCACAGATGCATTTGAACACAGCTTTCTATTTAAAGAATTTTTATACATTTGGAAATCTTTGTCTTAAAAATATCTAATACTTAGAGTAATTAATAAAAAACCCTGGTATTCTTTGCAGAATCTCTGTAGTTTATCTGAAGTTGTTTATGACCCTTTTACTATTTGCCATTATTCACCTCCATGAATGCTTTGTCCTTAACAAATGTGTACCCATAGTTCAGTAACAAGGCCACCGCAATAAACCTGTCAGTGTGAGGTACACTGTGTGTATGTAAGTTTATGAGATGGTCTCTCTGGTAGATGTCTACTTAAAATTTATTTCTTGAATGCCACAACTGTATTATCTTTTTCTCTCATTTTGTAATCTTTGGGAATTCTAAGTTAAAAGACTAAGTACAGAATACAGAATCAATGTGGACATTTCATAATGTCAGGATCACTTTTTTTGATAGAAATACTGAGACTTAGCATGACACAGAAGGCTAAAGCTTCATTATCATGCAATAATGATGTTATAGATGATTTAATCACTGATTCTTGAGCAAAGGTAGATGAGTGCAGAATAGGGTAGCCCTGTAAGAAACAAATTTATTGCAATTACTATCTTATTATAGTACTCAATGAAATTATTTTTTTAATTAAGATTATGATAGTTTACAACCTTGTGAAATTTCAGTTGTACATTATTGTTTGTCATTCATGTTGTAGGTGCACCACTTCACCCTTTGTGCCCACCCCCCAACCCCCCTTTCCCCTGGTAACCACTAATCTGTTCTCTTTGTCTACGTGTTTAACTTGCACATATGAGTGGAGTCATACAGAGATTGTCTTTCTCTATTTGGCTTATTTCAGTTAACATAATACCCTCAAGATCCATCCATGTTGTTGTGAATGGGGCGATTTTATCCTTTTTTATGGCTGAGTAGTGTTCCATTGTATATATACACCACATCTTCTTTATCCAGTCATCAGTTGATGGGCACTTAGGTTGCTTCCATGTCTTTGCTATTGTAAATAATGCCGCAATGAACATAGGGGTGCATGGGACTTTTGGAATTGCTGATTTCAAGTTCTTTGGATAGATACCCGGTAGTGGGATGGCTGGATCATATGGTATCTCTATTTTTAATTTTTTGAGAAATCTCCATACTGTTTTCCATAGTGGCTGCACCAGTTTGCATTCCCACCAGCAGTGTATGAGGGTTCCTTTTTCTCCACAACCTCTCCAACATTTGTTACTATTTGTTTTAGTTATTTTTGTCATTCTAATGGGTGTAAGGTGATATCTTAATGCAGTTTTGATGGGCATTTCCCTGATGATCAGTGATGATGAGCATCTTTTCATGTGTCTATTGGCCATCCGTGTATCTTCTTTGGAGAAATGTCTGTTCATGTCTTCTGCCCATGTTTTGATTGGGTTGTTTGATTTTTTGTTGTTGAGTTGTGTGAGTTCTTTATATAGTATGGAGATTAACCCTTTGTCGGATATATGACTTGCAAATATTTTTTCCCAATTGGTGGGTTGTTTTTTTCTTTCAATCCTATTTTCCCTTGCCTTGAAGAAGCTCTTTAGTTTGATGAGGTCCCATTTGTTTATTCTTTCTGTTGTTTCCCATGTCTGAGAAGACATGGTGTCCGAAAAGATCCTTTTGATACTGATGTCAAAGAGTGTACTGCCTATATTTTCTTCTAGAAGCCTTATAGTTTCAGGTCTTACCTTTAGGTCTTTGATCCATTTTGAGTTTTTGTGAATGGTGAAAAAGAATGGTCAATTTTTGTTCTTTTACATGTGGTTTTCCAGTTTTCCAAGCACCATTGGTTGAAGAGACTTTCTTTTCTCCATTGTATGCTCTCAGCTCCTTTGTCGAAGATTCGCTGTCCATAGATGTGTGGTTTTATCTCTGAGCTTTCCATTCTGTTCCATTGATGTGTGCACTCGTCTTTGTACCAGTACCATGCTGTTTTGATTACTGTAGCTTTGTAGTATGCTTTGAAGTCAGGGATAGTGATGCCTCCAGCATTGTTCTTTTTTCTCAGGATTGCTTTAGTGATTCGGGGTCTTTTGTTGCTCCATATGAATTTTAGGATTCTTTGTTCTATTTCTGTAAAGAATGTCATTGGGATTCTGATTGGGATGGCATTGAATCTGTAGATTGCTTTAGGTAGTATGGACATTTTAACTATGTTTATTCTTCCAATCCATGTGCATGGAATGTCTTTCCATCTCTTTATGTCGTCATCCATTTCTTTCAGGAAAGTCTTGTAGTTTTCATTGTATAGGTCTTTCACTTCCTTGGTTAAATTTACCCCAAGGTATTTTATTCTTTTTGTTGTGATTATGAATGGAATTGTGTTCTTGAGTTCTTTTTCTGTTAGTTTGTTGTTAGAGTATAGAAATGCTACTGATTTATGTATGTTGATTTTATACCCTGCAATTTTGTAGTTGTTGATTATTTCTAATAGTTTTCCAATGGATTCTTTGGGGTTATATTTGAGATCATGTCATCTGCAAACAGTGAGAGTTTCACTTCTTCATTGCCTATTTGGATTCCGTTTATTTCTTTTTCCTGCCTAATTGCTCTAGCCAAAACTTCCAGTACTGTGTTGAATAAGAGTGGTGAGAGTGGACACCCTTGTCTTGTTTTTGTTCTCAGAGGGATGGCTTTCAGTTTTTGCCCATTGAGTATGATGTTGCCTGTGGGTTTGTCATATATGCCCTTTATTATGTTGAGGTACTTTCCTTCTATACCCATTTTATTGAGAGGTTTTATCATAAATGGATCTTGGATCTTGTCAAATACTTTCTCTGCATCTATCGAGATGATCATGTGGTTTTTGTTTCTCATTTTGTTAATGTAGTGTATCACGTTGATTGACTTGCAGATGTTGAACCATCCCTGTGTCCCTGGTATAAATCCCACTTGATCATGGTGTATGGTCTTTTTAATGTATTGTTGTATTTGGTTTGCCAGAATTTTGTTGAGGATTTTTGCATCTATGTTCATCAGTGATAGTGGCCTGTAGTTTTCCTTCTTTGTGTTGTCCTTGTCTGGGTTTGGGATCAGGGTGATGTTGGCTTCATAGAATGTGTTAGGAAGTGCTCCACCTTCTCAATTTTCTGGAATAGTTTGAGAAGGATAGGTATTAAATCTTCTTTGAATGTTTGGTAGAATTCTAACAGAGGTAATTTTTAATGCTCCATCAAGGATCTTCTTAAGTGAGATTGGCCTTGTTTTTTGAAACTGTGAGTGCCTGGTGGTGAAGAATATAATGACTAATGCAGTGTAGAGCCACTGCCTTAATTTGTTTTATCCACCATTGATCTTGCACCATCAGTGCACACGTCAAAAGAGTGAATAATGTCTTAGTGTCACTATGAAAGTAGTTCTAACCTTGGGACGCATAGGGGTCCACAGACCACATTTTGAACCCTGGTTGCTTTAGGTCTTTGTCCTTAAATTACATCATATATTGCACATATCTAACTGTTAATTACTCAAAGAACGTTTAATGATAGCCTTTTTTCAAAAAATTAAGTATCTATTTGAAATGTGGTGTAGCACTTTCCTTCTTTTGAAAATACTTATGCTTTCCCTGTAGGAATGTATCCTGTCAGGTATAATGTCAGTGAATGGAAAGAAAGTTCTTCACATGGATAGAAACCCATATTATGGAGGAGAAAGTGCATCTATTACTCCTCTGGAAGATGTAAGTATTAGAATAAATTAATATGCCTTTCATAATTTGAATCTTTTACTGGTGAATCTCAACTTTACTCCTTATACATGGTTTTAATTTTGTTTCGTTAAATATGTTATCTGCATCATCATAATTTTTCAGGAGCTCCTAGTTTGGGGCTTGTAGAAATTTCACTTTAAATTTTGACCTTTGTTACCCTCTGGAGCAGTTATCTGTTAACTCTCAGAGTCAATAGAGTGTAGACTCGGGGGCCGGCCCCGTGGTCGCGTGGTTAAGTTCGCGTTCTCCACTTCGGCGGCCCAGGGTTTCACCTGTTCGAATCCTGGGCGTGGACATGGCACTGCTCGTCAAGCCATGCTGAGACAGTGTCCCACATGCCACAGCTAGAAGGACCCACAACTAAAAATGCACAGCTCTGTACCTGGGAGCTTTGGGGAGAGAAAGGAAAAAATAAAAATCTTTAAAAATATTAAAAAAACAATAGAGTGTAGACTCAGCAGAGTGCATAGAGGATCACCTGTTGCTGAAGACCTGATGTATGCCAGGCACACTGCCCACGGGCTTTCCACGTGGTCTTATTTATTCTCCCAGTCACTCAAAGAGATTTTATCCCCATTTTTCAGATGACAGACTGGTCTCTGTGGGGTTGAAATCCCCGAGAAGTGTTGTGAACCCAGGCTCTGTGTCTCCAGAGCTTAGCTCCTTTCCCTGTACTGCTTTGCTTCCTACTTTTTTAGAATATGGGCACATGAAGCATTTCCAAAGGGTGTTTTACTAAATGTATTTATTTCTCTGTGTGAGGTTTGTTCAACATCCACATGCATGGATATGAGCTGTACTGTGCCTCATAGGAGATATATAGATATCATCAGTTACTTTTTTCTTTTTAGGATTTTATTTCCCCTTTTTCTCCCAAAGTCCCCCGGTACATAGTTGTATATTTTTGGTTGTGGGTCCTTCTAGTTGTGGCATGTGGGATGCCACCTCAGCATGGCTTGATGAGCAGTGCCACGTCCGTGCCCAAGATCTGAACTGGTGAAACCCCCGGCTGCCAAAGCAGAGCGCACCAACTTAACCACTCAGCCACAGGGTCGGCCCCGTTCATCAGTTACTTTTTAAATAATGACTTTGATAAAATAAATTTCATATTTATATCAAAAAGTTTTTTCTATATGGGGCATACAGAAAAGTTGAAAGAATATAATACCAGTGGATCAAAAACCTTCCATATGGATTTAGCAGTTACCATTTTGCTATATTTGCTTCATGTCTGCCTTTTTGTTATTGGTTTTGAACCATTGAAAGTAATAGACACCATGATACTTGAACTAAATATTTCAGCATTCATCTACTAAGAATAACATTTTCCTACATAATCATAATACCATTACCACGTTTAAGAAAATTAACAATATCCATATGATACTCAAATTTCCCAGTGATTCCAAGAATGTCCTATATTGCCATGTAGTTGTGTGTTTTTTTAAACCAGTTTAAGCATTGCCTTTGGTGGTGTTTCTCTTTATTCTCTTATTCTACAAAAATCTCCCCAGTGCTTTTTTTGGGAAAAGTCTAGGCCAGTTTCTAAGAAAGTATTGTTGGGTCCTTCATGTTGCATCGCATCAGGAGGCACATAATGTCTGGTTGCCCCTCACTATTCATGATGCTGAGTTTGACCTTGGGTGAAGTGATGCCCGCCACATCTCTTCATTGTAAATAGTCTGTGCAGTGATACGGTGATATGTTGGTGCCATTCCTCCTACACCTAATATAATCTTCAGTAAGACGAGCAAAGCTGTCTTCGTGTGTGTGTGTTGTGTGTCTCAAGGACTTGGAGATTTTTATTGAGTAAATACATACCAGGTTTGCTTATTCTCTTCCACCTTAGCAATAGAATTCATGAGTTTGAATGAATATTCTCACATTTTAAACTGCAAGCTTCTTTTTATCTAGAGCTCCTAATCAACTCATAAATTTATAAATTAACTGAAAATTTATTTTTAACTCCTTACATAACTACGAAAGCAAAATTAAGCCTTTGTTAACTTTTTATTCAGGAGAGAATGAGTTTAAATGATGTCTACAAATAATAAGGGATGTTTCTGCAGAACTAGTGTGTTGCCGACAATGTATTTTGTATTCTTGCTTTTCTGCTAGTAAAAAGCAAACACATACCACCTCTGCAATATTTATTTTAGCTTTCACTAGCTTAGTAATATATTTAATTTACATATATAGGAACTTTGCTGAGAATTTTATCTGATTAAAAATGAAACATCCTTATACTTTACCTCATATTAGTAGTATTTAGTTATACCAAAACCACTTCATCAAAAAATAGTTGCATAGCTTAATGAAAACTAAATTTTGTTACATTATGGGTATTTTTTGTTTTGGTTTTAGTTATACAAAAGATTTAAAATCCCAGGAGCACCACCGGCGTCCATGGGCAGAGGAAGGGACTGGAATGTTGACCTAATTCCCAAGTTCCTTATGGCTAATGGTAAAGAATTCTAACTTAAATTTATGACAGTACGTTGAATCCAATTTAAAAGTAGAAACTAATGCTTGACAGAGAGTATTATTTGGGGTATGTGGATACGGATTTTGTTTAATGGAGACAGTATGGTGAGTAATATGGCCCATCAGAGGTGTCTAGAGTCACAAAGTTGAGAATGGAGGGAAGGGGGGTGACTTATTAGTAATTGGTTCTGGAGAAGCAAAATTAGGATGTGGCACAATTCATACCAAAATTGTAAGCATTTATAATGGACTTTCCTCCTGATGCTTCAGTGACAGCCTTAGGTAACTAGACCTTCAGAAACAGCCTTATTAATGTTTTTCTAGTTTCTAGGCTTTTAACATCATTTTATCATGTTTACTTTTTTGCATATTTTTAATTAGAGGAGCTCTGTATCTTTTAAAATTGCTCTGATATTTAGTAACTTTTTCAGAGATGACATTTGAAAAACTAAATTGTTGGTATAAGTCTATTTATTTATGTCCGATGAAATAAAGTATGTGCCACCCTTTCTCTTTTTTTTGAGCTTATTTTGTAGTTCATTTTAATGGAAAGATCTTATTTGTATTTTCTCTGAAATTTAAAGTTAACTGACTGAACTCTCTTGAGGTAAATTGTAAACACGAAATTTTTTATTATACAGTTATGCGTTGCTTAACAACAGGGCTATGTTCTGAGAAGTGTCTTCAGGTGATTTCATCATTATGCGAACATCACAGACTGTACTTACACAATCCTAGGTGATATAGCCTACTACACACCTAGGCTCTATGGTACTAATCTCATGGGACACCATCCTGTATGACCAAAATGATGTTATGTGGCGCATGACTATATAAGTAATAAAATTATTTTATTAAAATTTTATTAACACAGATAAGCAGAAAAGAAAGAAAATTTTCATGGCCAAATTGTTACCATTTAGAATCATGGTTAATATTTTGGTGTATAACCTGCTGGGCTATGCGTATATATGTATTTCATTTTCTTTTTTCTTCCCCGGTTAACATGTTTTTCAACCAATATATTGTGAACGTTTGACAGAGAGAGGGAGAGAGAGTGTGTGTGTGATGAACCTCATTGTATACTCCTGGAAGTGTACTATGGGATAAAGGCAATTATTTTTAAGGCTTTTCCTTTATGTTGCCAATTTTACTTTTACCAGTAGACTATGAGACTGCATCTTTCCCAGTACCTTTACCAAGCCCAGATATTAGTCATTTTAGTTTTTGTCATTTTGTCATATTAAAATTTTAGGCAAAATATTGGATTTAAAAAAATATCTATTTGTTAGTGGGTGAAATGATTTCTAGATGTTTACTGGCTTTCCTATTCTTTAGTGAATTGGCCAGCCCTGGGCTTTGCATATTTTTCTGTTGAGATTTCGTATTTTTCCTTACCGATGTGAAAGAGCTATTAAATCCCCTTTTAGGCCCAGCCCTGGTGGTCTAGGGTTAAGATGCAGGCTTTCACTGCCTCGGCCTGGTTCCATTTCCTGGTCAGGGAACCACACCACTTGTCTTTCAGTTGTCATACTGTGGTGGCTGCATGCTACTATGACGCTGAAAGCTATGCCACCAGTATTTCAAATACCAGCAGGGTCACCCATGGTGGACAGGTTTCAGCAGAGCTTCCAGACTAGACAGACTAGGAAGAAGGACCTGGCCACCCACTTCTGAAAAAGTTGGCCCTGAAAACCGTATGAATATCTGGCAGCATAAAGCTTTCCTCAGTACTTGTTCTCAAAAAAAAAAAAACAAAATTTTTGACCTTCGTAGTATATTTATCGTTTCAAATGAGCTTTAAAATAGTTTTGTTTGGTTTCTTAAAGAAGTTTACTATTTTTAATATACCAAAATTTCTTTGGTTTATAGGCAGGTAATATTTTTAATTGTATGCCTTTTTCTTTATCTGAAATTAATGTTCATTTTAATAAATATAAATGGACTTAGAAACTGAAAAGCACAAATTCCTGAAAAATTTTGCCTGTGAGTTGCCTCTCTTCAAAATACAATAGGAACTTTAAAGAAACCTAAACCGATTTGCAATAGTACCATAATTCTAAACCTCATACCTCTAACAATTATTGTGTAGCTTTTATAAAAGCAAGTTGATAAAGTTATTCACCATGAAGTTGTAACATTTAGAAAAATACTTCTAAATATGTGCATTCTGATTGTCTCACTTAAAACACGGCTTTGGAGACTTTTTGTAGAAGTTATTGGACAATGTTAAGAAAAAATGGGAAGCCATTAGTGTAAGTAAATGTACTTTTATTTCTGCTAAGTTTTGAAGGCAGTAAGGTTTAAGTTACAGTTTGAATTATGTGACTGTTACAGGTCAGCTGGTGAAGATGCTGCTTTATACAGAGGTCACTCGCTATCTGGATTTCAAAGTGACTGAAGGGAGCTTTGTCTATAAGGGAGGGAAAATCTACAAGGTTCCTTCCACTGAAGCGGAAGCCCTGGCATCTAGTAAGTAATTTTATTTTCTCAGAATATTAAGATTTTATAATAGAAAGGAATTGTAGAGATAAAATTTAAGGTCCCTCACATCAACCTTCCATCCACTTACTGAGTCGACAAAGCTGTACTGGGTGTATTACTGCCAGACACTGTTTTAGGCAGTTGAGAGTATGTCAGTACACACAAGGTTCAAGCACTCCTATTCTTTTGAAACTTAGAGAGAGTTTAAGTGACCATCTCTAGATCACGTAGCTTGTTGCTGGTGAATCTGAGCCTATTTAGGTTTAGTAGTGTGCTCTTTTCATAATACTAATTTGTGAGAGTGATTGGGTTTATTTTTTCTTTTAGTGTTTCCTGTGTGCTAGGTTCTGTGCTAAACATGTATTCGTTTTTTTTTTTTAAAGATTTTATTTTTTCCTTTTTCTCCCCAAAGCCCCCCAGTACATAGTTGTATATTTCTCATTGTGGGTTCTTCTAGTTGTGGTATGTGGGACGCTGCCTCAGCGTGGTTTGATGAGCAGTGCCATGTCCGCGCCCAGGATTCAAACCAACGAAACACTGGGCCGCCTGCAGCGGAGCGCGCGAACTTAACCACTCGGCCACGGGGCCAGCCCCACATGTATTCATTTTTTAATTTGACTTTTGAAACACTTTCATGAGGTAGGGTTTCCATTTTTTAGATGAGGAAACTCTGGCCTGAAATCACCTAGGTAGTAAGTGGCGGGATTGGAATTGAAACCCTAGTGGTTTGATTAGAGCCGGTGTGTACTCGATCACTGTCACAGGCTGATCTCTTGTACCGTGTTACCCAACCTGCCAGGAGAGAAAAGAACTCCCTTGTGGCAAAACTGGTCTTCTAGGTGGTGCTGTTGTCATTTTTCAGCATCTCTGTTTTTAGGAGTTCCCAGTGAGTCTGGAGTGATTTTATTCTCTGCCCAAAATATCCTCTATTGGCTCGCCCAAGATTCCTGGTTATCGTTTTCTATTTCCATCTCTCTCTCGAACAGCAAACACCCCTGGAAAAGACCTTTTGTCCTTTAAGGTGTGCAGCTGTGCAGACGTTTGAGGCAGGATGAATTTGTGTAACTAAAGGGTGGATAGTGTTGTATAGTAAGTGCTCTGTGGAGTTTAGAGGAGGGAGTGTTTGCACTGGGAGAATAGATGAAATGCCAGTAAGTATTCTGGCATAAGTCTGGAAAAGTTTTCTCACCTAAAAAACCTAAGTTGAATTATTTTGTCAATTTCTCTATCTATTTACTTCTTGCTATTAGGGGAGAAAATACTGGGCATAAAATGTTGAAAGACACTAGCCAGAAAGTAAAAAAATACCACTGACAATTGTGGTGAGGTTAGGATTGACAGTTGGGGATGGAAAGGAATGGCTCCTGATTAAATTGAGAGGAGTCAGTGGTATAATCACGGGTTAGAAATTATTTCAATTGGGGCTGGCCCTGTGGCTGAGTGAGTGGGTTTGCGTGCTCTGCTTTAGTGGCCCAGGGTTTCGCTGGTTCGAATCCTGGGTGCAGACATGGCACTGCTCACCAGGCCATGCTGAATTGGAATCCCACATCCCACAACTAAAATACACAACTTTGTACCAGGGTGCTTTGGGAGAAAAAGGAAAAATAAAATCTTTAAAAAAAAAAAATTATTTCAATTATATAAATCTTCTAAATGACCATAAGTTTAATCCAAATAAAGTATTTTGATAGAAATAAGAGTTTAAGAGTTTGAGTAGAATCCTTTTAAACAAAGTTTGTGTTTTTTATTTTAAATTTTTATTCTCTCTGGGAGCTCTTATCTGTATTAATAGCTTCAGCTGCTTCTTTCACTTAATAAAAGTTGAAGGACTTAGCATTTGGCAGTTTTATTTTCCCCTTTTTGATTTAATTTTTTCAAACATGTAAAACATTTACATGACTTGAAAGTGAAAATTATATCAAAGGATGTATTTAGAATCTTATTCTTATCTACACCACTCCATTTTTTCCATCCTGATACTAATCATTTTTACTTGTTTCTGGTTTATCCTTAGGTTTCTTTTCACAAAAATAAGCAAATATGTGAATGTATATTTTTTAAGTTTAGGTGTATTGAGGTATAATTTACATACTGTAGGATTTACCTGTGTTAATATGCAGTTTTATGAATTTTTACCAAATCACTGCCTTATCAGTGGCTTTCTTATATGAATGGATAGGATTTTCAAGTTGGAATGGCAGACAAGAAAATTCTAGGCAGAGTGAATGAATGGGGTAAGGAAAAGTTTAGAGGTGGGAAGTTCAAGAGAAAGATAAAAACAAATAATTTTATAATTTTAGTAATAGCTAACTTTTTTAACATTATGTGTGGGCATGTATGTACTAAGTACTTTATGCATATTATCTGACTTTATTTTATATAGTCTTTCACTACAACCCTGTGAGATGTGGGTGCTATTATCTTTATTTTACAGATGGGAAAATGAGGTATGTGGGTGTGAAAGAAGAGCTCAGAGTAGCATAGCTCATGACTGGTAGAACTGGTTTGAAGCCAGATTTATCTGACTCTAAAACCCCATGTTCTTTTTTTTTTTTTTTAAAGATTTTATTTTTCCTTTTTCTCCCCAAAGCCCCCCAGTACATAGTTTTATGTTCTTCGTTGTGGGTCCTTCTAGTTGTGGCATGTGGGACGCTGCCTCAGCGTGGTTTGATGAGCAGTGCCATGTCCGTGCCCAGGATTTGAACCAACGAAACACTGGGCCACCTGCAGTGGAGCGCGAGAACTTACCCACTCAGCCACGGGGCCAGCCCCTAAAACCCCATGTTCTTAACCACTGTCTTATATGGTATATAAATAGAGCTTTTTAGTATTTTAACAACTATCACATACCCTCTAATTCTTTTTTTTCTTCATGCTAAACATTTCTAGTTCCTGTGATCGTTTCTCATATAATATGCTATGTAGATGTCTTGGCCACTTTTCTTTGGAGATTCTCTGATTTGCCAAGATCATTCTGTACATAACAGTATTGCAGCCAGACTGGACATAATACTCCAGATGTTGTCTGCTTGCTCAGTGTCAGTGGGACTATTTCTTTCCTAGGACAGTTCATTTCTTTAATGTAGCCTGAGTTTATATTGGCTTTTTTAGGAGCTGTAAATGCTGTTGGTTCTTGTGGTAGTTCATGCCAACTAAAACCTCAAGGTTCTGATAAATATTTGTCGATTGTCAAGTGTTATGTTAGTCAAATCAATGAGAGATATATTTGACCGCTAGAGTAATGTTGAACGCAGATAACGTGTTCAGAAAAGTTTTGAGGAGGTTTCATGAATAGCTTTGAAATGTGCCCAGCAAAACCTTGTATCCTAAGTTGCGTCTTTAGCTTGTTTGTTTATTCTCATTCTCGCTGCTGTGAGGCATCTGTGTGTCTGGAGCGCCTTTGACATCAGCACATCTCTGATCTCACAGAGCTAAGTGAATCTCGGGGCTTGTGGCCGGAGAAGTAGACGTGTCTGCTGCAGCTCGTCCACCCTGAGAATTACACCATGTACCGGACCTTAGGAGTTTTCTTGTGACACTAATTCTACTCCAATTTTTTAAAAATTCTCTAGTCAAATCTTAAACCTATTAGTTAATTGGAAAGCTTTTATAGCTTTTTTATGTGTTAAAAGTCTTGACATAAGTGGCTTTTTTGCGTAAATAAACCTCAGTGTGCAAGTGAAGGAAAGTAAAACCATTTGAAATAAAGTTAAGACACTACTCAGGGGACTGCGTAACTCTGAAAAAGATTTTTGTAAATCATTTCCTCATATAATTTGAATATTCTCTTTACATATTGTGTAAATATATGTACATTCATATATGTATGTATATTCATATATAGTCAGTTTATGAATAAGTCGACTTCTTTTATGTTTACTGCCATCAGACATTAATTATATGGACTGAATATTTTTTGAGTGCTGGCTGTGCGCCAGGTGCCCTTCTAGGTTTGGGGGTAAGGAGGGTTCAACAGAAGGAAAAAAGTAAACAAAAACTGGTTTCCCTGATGGAGCTTAACCTTGGTGGGGACAGGCTGTAAACAGAGAAAAGTATATCAGACGGTGATGTGGTGCTATGGAGAAAGGTGAAAGGAGGCGGGAGCATGGGGGTGATCAGGGAAGGCATCATTGTACAGAAGGAGCTGTTAGCAAAATTATACGGTAGGAGATGTTGTTTGAACCCTTTCGATTATAACTTTTTCAGAATGAGCACTGGATCTCCAAAATGTTTGTAATTGCAATGGTACCTGGTTCTGATGCTGTGTCAGCTAGTAATGGAGACACTAGTTGGTGCCATGCATGGCAGGCCATGGACAAGCAGTTAGAGCATCTCTACTGTGCTGTCAAACAGAAGTCACCGGAACAGCTGTCACTGTCCTTGTGAGGCTTGAGGATTAGTGTGGGAGGGAGATGAAAGAAGAGACAAGAGTGGGAAATTCAAGGAGGCACAGTAGATTTTTATTTGATTTTTAACAAAGTGCTGTGCTAACTCGACAATAAGCTGTCGGTAATAGCTTACATTCCAACAGGCGGGCCCAGCAGAGTAAGACAGCTGAGTTAGAAGTGCCCTGCGGCAGTGACTCGTTTCTTAGCTGTCTTCCTCCTCCCCCTGGCAACTAAACTTGTGTCTTAAGTATGGTGGTAAATAGAATATTTCTTTTTAGCCTTTACTGTGTATGCAATCTGTCCATTTTTTTTTAACGCTAGGTTGTAAATAGTGAAAAAATTAAATGTAGTCAGTTGTCATTAATAGCCTCATGCTGATTTTAATTTTCAGTTTTGTTGGTTTCAAATGTAGTCTTGGGGGGAATCCTGTTAAAAATATCAGAACATTAAACTGTCAACTGACATGAAAGAAACGTTTGAGAGTTTGTTATTATTAAAGCTATAGTTGTTTTTAAAGTAGCCGTACGGTTTAGGAAATGGGGAGAAGGAGACAGAGTCAGTATTTTCGTTTCCTTTGGTCTTGTCTTTCTAACCAGCTATATAATAGTAGTAGGAATACTGACTAGTAGGAAGAGCTGAGAGGTTCTCATGTAGTAGTTTGTAGCTGTCTCCTCATCTGCTTTTTAATATAAAAAGCGGTGAACTCTGATTATCTAGGTATTCATTAAAGTAAATGACTAGCAGCATAATCAACACTACATTTCTTTGAGGTCAATTTGTTGTTAGTCTCTGAGCTTTCTCATTAAATGTCAGAGTGTATCTTAGCATACAGAAAAGGAAAAGGAAGAGCATTGGGAAGTTTGGGCAGTTGGCCGAGTTAGAGATCAGAGTTGTCAAAAGAAGAACATTGCGAGCCTTCAGGAATAATGTTTCTCGTCATATTTACCTTTTATCTAGTAAGAGACATAAGTAGACATAGTACGTTTAAATAAGTACTGGTTATAATTACTTGTAATTGTACTGTAAAATTGAAGGCTCACTCACTGATCTGTTGTGATTATGTCACTTTAAGTGTTGTCCAAACTCCCATCCCTTAAATTGTACCTTGCATTAGAAGAGCCTCAGATAATAACATGGCACCTTTAAACTCTCCTGTCACGCTTTTCACAGTTTTCCTCAGTGTCCTATTGTGAGTGTGTGCTTTTTGAAAAACTCTTTTTTTAGGCTTAATGGGGCTGTTTGAAAAACGTCGCTTCAGAAAATTCCTAGTGTACGTTGCCAACTTTGATGAAAAAGATCCTAGAACATTGGAGGGCATTGATCCTAAGAAGACTGCAATGCGAGAAGTGTATAAGAAATTTGACTTGGGCCAAGATGTTATAGATTTCACGGGTCATGCCCTGGCACTTTACAGAACTGATGAGTAAGTTTTTTTGTTTTTAGATTTATATTTTTCTTGGAACTCCTACTGAATTTCCCAATTCTCCATTGTGCAAGTTCTAACAAAACAAATATATAGTCATGTTACACTATGAAAGAAGAGGTTCTCATTGCACATTAACCTTAGAACCTTTTCAGTAAAATATGAAGGTATTCAAGTGAAAGCACTTCAGAAAAGATTTTAAATCTAACACAAGAAGGAAAACCAAAGCCCTTTTGTAATACTCATTTCCTTTTCTCCAGCTATTTAGATCAACCCTGTTGTGAAACCATCAATAGGATTAAACTTTACAGTGAGTCTCTGGCAAGATACGGCAAAAGCCCATACCTTTATCCACTGTATGGCCTTGGAGAGCTGCCCCAAGGATTTGCAAGGTAAGAGCCCGTATTCAACCTATTGGGTAGAACTGCACTGATCCTGAACCTCGTCTTCAATGGAAGCATATGAGATATTGTGTACAAAGCAGGATATGTCTGTGAGTAGTGAGATGCTTTTTATTCTTATCAAAGGAGAATTTACATGCAGTGAAACCACAGATCTAGTGAAAAAATTGAGTTGGTAAATGTATAGACCTGTGTAACCAAAACTCCAATCAAGATACAGAACGTTTTTCTTACTCCGGAAAGTTCTTTGCATCACCTCATAATCACCACTCCTCCCACACTAACAACTACATTTGTGATTTCTATCACCATAGATTACTTTTGCCTGTTTTTGAAGTGTATATAACAGGAACAGTATGTACGTGTTTGTGTCTGGCTTTTCCGTAATATTTTTGAGAGTCATCCATGTTGATACATGTGCCAATAATTTATTTGTACAATATTGAGTTAGTATTCAATTATGTGAACATACCACCTTGTCTTGCTAATGGACACCTGGGTGGTTTTCAGTTTTGGGTATTATAAATGAAGCTCCTGTGAACTTTTGTGTAAAAGTGTGTATGGCTATAGACTGTCATTTCTTTGGGGTAAATATCCGGGAGTGGAATAGCGAGTATGTTTAACTTCCTAAGACACTGCCCAACAACTTTCTAGAGTGGTTGCACCATTTTACATACACTCCGCAGTGTGTGAGAGTGCTAGTTTCTCCATGTCCTTGCCAGCGTTTAATGTTGTCACTTTTGAATGTTAACCACCCAAGTAGGTGTGAGATGCTTTCTCATTCTGGTTTAATTTGCGTTTCCTGATTACCTTTTCAGGAGCCTGATGGCCACTTGTGTGATTTTGTGGTGATTGTTTATGTCCTTTGTACATTTTTAAAGATTTGAGTTGTCCTCGTTTCTGATTTGTAGGAGATCTTGATATATCCTGGCAGCAAGTTTTTGTCAGATTATATGTATTAGAACTGTTCTCCCAGTCTGTGGCTTATCTTTTGATAAGCAGAAGTTTTAAATTTTCATAATATATCGCAATCTTTTTTCATGTTTAGCACTTTTTGGGTCCTATCTAAGGAAACTTTGTCTATCTCAAGAGCACAAAGATACTCTCCTGTGTCTTATTTTTTTGAAACTCTGTAGCTTTGGTACTGTGTTCCAGTCTGTGTTCCATCTTGAAATAATGGTGTGTGGGGTGGGGTAGGGCTCGAGGTTCATTTTTTCCCCCATACCACTATTTAGTTGTTCTCGCACCGTTTATTGCAAAGGCGTCCTTTTCCAGTTGTCTAGGGGCCTCTGTGGACAGTGTGTTTTCTTCCGGTGATCTGTTTATTTTTCCTGGCATTGCCGTTGTCCCGCTTATCGCAGTTCTATAGTAAGTCTTGAACTCGGGTAATGTAAGCCCCGGCTTCGCTCCTTTTCCAGACTGCTGCGGCTATCCTAGGTCCTTTGTGTTTCACATACGTTTTAGAACAGGTTGTCAGTTTCTAGAAAAAATGGTTGCTGGGATTTTGGTTGGAATTGAGTTAAACCTATAGATCACTTTGGGGGAGAATTTACCCCACAATTTTTATCTCCTTTGACAGCCCAAGATTCTATCCTGTGGCACCTCCCGTCAGTGAGACTGCACGCTTTTTCTTCTGGTCTCGGTGCCCCGTGTTACAAGGACTGGGGAGGCGGTTCCTTCAGGGGAAGAGCCACAGAAACCACATAAAGGCCTCTGAACAGGAGACATTATTTCATGGTTCTGACTCTGTTTTACAGTTCATGCCTTAATGACTTTTAAACTAACACCTTCTAGAAAACTGAGCAAGTGTATACTGCCTGTAATTCATAAAGATCTAAGAAAGGAGACTTTAGTAGTTGAAACAATTACAAATTATTACTTGTAATTTTCAAAATCTTCTAGGCTAAGTGCAATTTACGGAGGTACCTACATGCTGAATAAACCAATCGAAGAAATCATTGTACAAAATGGAAAAGTGATTGGTGTAAAATCTGAAGGAGAGGTAAGTAGCTTTTACAATTTAAAAAATCTTGTTCTTGTGAAGAAAGTTTTATTATCTAATATGTACTTAATTTGGTATGGACATGGATACTAGATTTCAGACTATATATGGTTTGTTTATAGTAAGTTGGTATTCATAATGACTAGGGACTAGTTATAGATGCTGTGCTTTATTTAAAAAAACAGATCTTAATACTTTGTATTGTGTTGATGCTTCTGTTAAGACTAAAATATACATTATGGATGAGCTATAAATAATGGTAGATATTCTGTATTTACATAGTGTGGGTTGGTGCCTGTCTTCCAAATTTCCATTTAAATTTAACTTTATTTTTACCACTTATAATTTATTCGTTGACATAGGGCTTGGTCAATACTGACCTTTTTATTGTTTATTATTTAATAAATAATGTTAATGACAGTTATTACCATTTATTTAATTTGGGGTTTAGCTGTGGAGATGGCTAGGTGGAGTTTTGAGCAGTGTTTTCAAATGTGAATTGAATATAAGTCATTGTTAATCTTGTTAAAATGCATATTCTGATTCATTAGGTTTGAGGTGGCTCTGCATTTTCTTGCAAGCTTTCAGGTGATGCTGATCCTGTTGGTCTGCAAACCAGATCATTCATATTTCATGAAATAGCAACTCAAGAATAGTTAGAACTACTGAAAAAAGAAACTAAAAAACTAAGTTTAAAAAACTATTTTGGTGTTTCTGACGGCATTCCATTGGTTGAGACCATATAATCTGCACTTACAAGTTGGCCGTCTGAACTTTTATTATTGTTGTATATCTTCTGTAACTACCTTGTGCTTTCAGTATAATAGGCATTTAGGAAATAGGGCTAAATATTTTAATCTGATATCTCAGAAGTCCTTTTTATTGCAGAGATTCACTGCATCCTTCTTTGCTTCACGCAGCTGCTTCCTCTTAGGAAATTTCAAGGCTTTGATATAAAAAGGAAGAAGACTATAATGTAATAATATGTAATTTATCTTGCGATTTAAGTTTTACTTGGCATAGTCTTAAGATGAGAATGATTTTCATCTGTTTGTAATATTAGTACCATTTATAGAACATTTTCTTTTTACTGACATTCGCATGTAATGACAGCCCTTAAATACACTCTTTCATTTAATCCTACCAACAACCCTTTGAGGTTGGGTCGAGCCAGGATTTGAACCCTGGTTGGCCCCATTTTAAAACTTATACTTCTGAACACTATGCAACACAGATTTCTTAATATGTGACTAGAATTTGGAATCCATGGATCTGTTCCAGGAGAACCTGTAGGGATTGTTGGCATAGCTAGTTTTAGTAGTTATCTATAGTTGACTAATTGTCTACAGGTAATTTTATGAAGGTAACAGATTATATTCAAGGGACAGTAGCATCAGTATACTGTCTAAAAACAGGTAGACACTGAAGGTTCAGAAGTCTCGAAATGTTGTTACAGATTGCTCGCTGTAAGCAGCTCATCTGTGATCCCAGCTATGTGAAAGATCGGGTAGAAAAAGTGGGCCAGGTGATCAGAGTTATCTGCATCCTCAGCCACCCCATCAAGAACACCAATGATGCCAACTCCTGCCAGATCATTATTCCACAGAACCAGGTCAATCGGAAGTCAGGTGAGTTTGGAAGATCAGCAGGTGTTTGTAGAATTTCTGCTTTGTGTTTCAGCCCAAATTCCTAACTGCATCTGCTCTTATAGTGAAGAAACTTTAGTTTACATATGGGAAAGAACATGTGGTGGCCTAGCTCAGAGACATCCTCCGTCACCGCGTTGAAATGAACGCGGCAGCCAGGAGCCCTGCCTCGGACTTGCGGCCGCTGCCTTGGACCTCCGTCCACTCGTCTGTAGAATCAAGAGGCTGGACGAGAGGAGCGGTCAGAGCCGCTCCCGGTTTGGACACTGTGTGCCTGTGGAGGTTTAACTTCTTAGTTCACCTGACTTCACTGTGTTTGAGCTGATGACAGTACTGCTTTTGTGTCATTATTTGTCAACTTAATACTTACCTTTCATTTCTATGATTAAGATCACGACTTAGCTCTAAAATCGTAAATCCTAATTTTCTGCTTTAACCACTTGTATTTATTTACTAGCTTTTCCCATCTTTCTTTCTTTTAGAAGCCCTAAATCTTTTATTTATCAGAAATTCAACTTAAAAGGGGTTATCAGCCTTTAAATGGACAGTAAAAAGCTATCTGTATTTATTTTCCATATAAGAACCAGATGATAGGTGATTACTGCAAGAACAAAAGGACTTGGACTAAAGTAATCTGTCGAGGGTTCCCAGGCAGATCCTGTGTCTTTGAAAGTCTACGAAGAGTAAAGGGAGCCCAGTAATTATTTTCTATGTTAGAAATTATGTAGTTAGTGGTATACAGACAAGTAAAATTCATGGAATTACATGAGTTTATTATGCCAACTGAATAGCTTACGCTGATTTGCAATTTTATGTCACTTAAATGAGAAATCAGTACTTAATAAATCCTTTTTAGCTATTCAAAACCTTTCTAAATGCTGGCTTCAGAGAGGAAGACGACCCCAGAGCAGTTAATATGGTTTGCTAGGTTTCCACAGTTAGCTGTGACGAGAACGAGGAAGAGGACTCTCATTTCCGAGTCCAGCAGTTCACTGCTGCGTACAAACTTCATCTCCAGTAAGCTAAAAGTTGCTAACTATTTGCATATTTTATGTATGACCCCATGCCTCCATATAGAACTTAAGCTTAGAAGGTATTGTCTATTCTAAGTAATTTTAATTCACACCTTGATGAAATACAGGTGAAACCTGAGTGTGCACACGTGCCAGCAGTTTATAAACCTTGGCAGTGACAGCATTACTTTTTTTCCAGATATCTATGTCTGCATGATCTCCTCTGCACACAATGTGGCAGCCCAGGGGAAGTACATTGCCATAGTTAGCACAACTGTGGAAACCAAGGAGCCTGAGAAAGAAATCAGACCAGCTCTGGAGCTCTTGGAACCAATTGAACAGAAGTAAGTGATGTGCTCGTTTCTATCAGCTAAAACCCAAGGCTGATGTTGGCTCCGTAGTGGGGTGAACCCCATAACAGCAGCAGCCATTGGCTGTTGTGTGGGTATTGTCTCTACCAATCTCATGTTTTGGGTTTTGAATTTCAGGCAGAGTGGGTGGATGGGTGTGTGGTCAGCTCCCCTGCTAACTTGTTTTTCCCCTCCAGATTTGTTAGCATCAGTGACCTCCTTGTACCGAAAGATTTGGGAACAGAAAGCCAGGTGAGTGTGGCGATCTGAAAAGGGTAACACCGGGCTTTATTGGGAGACATCCCTCAAGAGTCTCAAGTCTTTCTAATTTTTATTTCCAGATCTTTATTTCCCGCACATATGATGCTACAACTCACTTTGAGACAACCTGTGATGACATTAAAGACATCTATAAGAGGATGACAGGATCAGAGTTTGACTTTGAGGAAATGAAGCGCAAGAAAAATGACATCTATGGGGAAGACTAACGGCAGTATATGTCATCTAATTAGGACAAACTTAAAAAATTTGGCAAATGCATATTGTATGAAATCAATATTGTAAGGCCTGCTTTTGTAATCAAAACAGATTGCAGAGCACTGCACCAGTAAATATTCCTCCCCTTTCTAATATCATGTATTAACTTGTTTTCATGGAGTGGCTGTTCAGAATTGGCAGGTTACCACATTCTGTTCAATTTAACCATTACTGGCTTTTTTTCTTCTAGTGAAGGATCAGTTTTAAAAAAACATTGTGATACTGATACAGAGAACTTGATACAGTATTTGTATCTTTTAATCAGTGTAGCCTTTGCAATTATGTGCTTCTGCTGCTCAAGAGCTGGATCAGTACAATTTGCGTGCCATCTGTCCTCTTAACGTTAAGGAGATTCGAAATCGAATATTCCATAATTTGGGACAGCATCCCTAAGTTTTCCCTATCCCTTTACATTTTGTGTCCTGTCAAGTATTATGACAGTGCCCATGTAGCACAGCCACAAGTTTGGTTTATGTGGGCCTAAAATTCTAACCCATCTCCGGACTTTGAGAGTCATTTTGGAGGAAGCCTGTGTGCAGTGTTTTAACCTAATACAACTGATGAGAGCACAGGGGAAGAAACCTATCATAAAGCAGGTAAACGTAGAAGCTTCTTTTGTATCCCAGGTGCGGCTTCTTCAACGGACCAAGCTGCGCTGCAGTATTGACTTGAGAGAGCCTCCACCGTGTCTGTCTCAGAATGGCTCCACATGATTTCTGTACTGCAGAATAAAGCCAAACTCTGGAAACAGCTCCCCTCCACTGGTCTGTTTGTGTGATGTTTAAGGGCTAGTGAGTATCGCAGTGGCCATGACACAGCGGCTCATTTTCTTCAGTAGAGCCAGCACTGATGCTGGGAGAGAGATGCCGGAGTCAAAAGGCGTGCGAGTCCCTAACGGCAGGTGAAGGTTCAAATTGGGCTGGATAGAGTCCCTGCTACCTGGCTTCACTGTGAGCAGACCCCAGATCCGAGTCCTGACGCAGTCTAACTGTGAGACTCCTGCGCACTCTCAGCAGTGGTTTACAACAGGCAGTTCTCCTTTCCACACAGATACGAGTTACCGCCTTCGATGACTTTGCTTACAGCCGCGGTTGTGAGAGTAAGTGAATTCTGTCAGGTGGAATAGGTGCTTTCTTATTTTCAAGTAATTTAAGTTGTCGTTAGAAACTGTTTTTACTGATAACCTCTTTTCCCCTTGATAGTTTTAAGCCTCCCTGTCTTCCTTTAAGGCTGAATATTGATTCTGATAGTTAAGTCTGAAGGACACAGACACAGATGGTCTGTTAAAGAACTTAGGACAATAATACAGATTGTTATTCAGATTGTTTAAGTGGTCACTTCAGCTTAGTTTTCTCACTCGACGGTATCCATTTTTGGCCAGATAATTCTTTATTGGGTGTGTGTGGGTGCTGTTCTGTACATTGTACATTGAGCAGCATCTCTGGCCTCTAGCTACTACATACCAAATAGCATCTCCCTAGCGTGACAACCAAAAATGTCCCCAGACAGGATCAGTAATGTCTCCCAGGACACAGGACTGCCCCAGTTGAGAACCACTGCTTTATCGCCATGATAAGGTTATCAAAAATTCCAGCAAGGCTGTCCCTTCCCTTCCTATAATACTTCAAATTCTGAACTATTAATGCAGGCAAAGGCATAAGCTGGGTTAGTAATAAGTATAAAGAAAAAGTACCAGGATATTTTCATATTCTTCATTGAACATACGTATTTATTGGACAACTAATACTTCTGTGCCAGGCCAGTGGGGCACAAAGATGATAAGGTACAGTGTATGGAAGAGCTCACAGGCTAGAGGAGACCCATTATTCTGTAGCTTGGTTGAGTGTTAAAATAGTTGGAGAAAAGGTGGGAGGGAGGGAAACGATGGCCTTGTGGGTGTTGGAAGGCCCTTTGGCAAGGGGAGATGAACATCTGAGGTACAATCTGAGAGAGTGTCAGGCAGACAGTACCCGGCAGGTAGTAGGTGCTCAATAAATGTTTCCTTGTCCTGAGTAATTTCAAATTAATTCAGTGTGCTGAACATAGTTATGATCCTCTTACTAGATTCTTATCCCTGGGGTAACAATCACATGATTGGGTTTCTAAGCAAGAGCTAGTGTCAAATAATTAAAACTCTGTTAGTCGTCGTCCTCCCGAGAAAACGGTGAAATTGCACTTTTGTTTAGGTAAGAGGTGCACAAAGCAGATGAATGGCTTTTCAAAGGCCTGTAGTAGGGCTGGGTGAGGAGTCCTGTGACGTCCTCTTTCTGTGGCTTGCTGCGCAGTGCGCCTTACTTGGGGGAGGGAAAGCCCTGGGCAGGTCTGTGGGAGTGAGACTGACAGGTCATGGCCTAAGGGCTGTAAGTGGCGGGATGCCTCTGGAAGCTAGTTATTCCTGCTAAGTGGCCTAAAAACTGCTAAAAACATTCCCTACACTTTCAATTTTTGCTCTCAAGTCACTGCAGAAACAGTTGATTTTTAGTTGTCTTTATTTAAAAAATGAAATTAGTTACAAAACCCTTTGCTCCAAATAGATACTATGTATCTTACAAATGTTTTTTGCTTGGTTTTGAGTTTCCAAGATCACAGTAGAAATTATTTCTAACATCATAAATAAATGATTATTTCTTCCTCAGAGGGTTGATTTGTAGTGCACTATTCACAAAAACTAAGTGAAAAATGACAGTTTATAAATTTGTACCATTTTGGAAAAAAATGTTTAACTTTATGTAGTGTTGCTCGAGTAACAGCAAATAAAACCACTCAAGTTTATAGTTTTTACAAGGGTGGTAAAACCTTTAAAGCAGACTATAATAACATGCATTCCATATGCTTATCTGACATTAACATGCAAAAACAAAGCTATTGGTTAAAATAGACTTATTTTTGCTACAATTGAGTAAACATTAAGTTCAATTAATAGCTTTAAAGGCATTCTGTTTAAAATGAGAATAATTTAAAACAATATTTAACACTGCAACCCAAAAGCTAATGGACTACTGTCACTGTGAACAAAGTCAGACATTTTAGCAAAGTTTATAAAAATGAAGGAAGGAAACTTTCCTCCAAGTTGTAGAACATTGATTTTTCAAATATGAGAAGACTCTTCTGTGCGCCTTAAAGTTTTTCAAAGAAAAGGGAAAACACTAATTTGTTGTTGGCATCATTGATATCTAGCCAAGCTGCAGTTGAATCACCTGGATAAACACAAAATTGATAGTAATTCCATCTTTAAAAGAAAATAACCGAGAAATTTTATAAATAGTATGCTATTTAATGGTGAAAACTTTTATGCATCTTATGCTACATTATCTTCTGTCCTGGCAGTCAAGATGGACTGCAAGTGAAAATGCACATCGTTTAGGTAAAAGGGGTAACTCGAAGTAGGCTGGTTATTTCATTAAGTGATACTTCACAAATTCCTATTTATGCCAAACCAACAGCAATTCCACCCCTAAGTAAACAAACAGATAGTTTAAATTTACAGCATGATGTATAAAGAACAGAATTTCTGAACAACTGGTTCCCTCACAAACACAAATATCAGTATCTGCTGTCAATTCCAGCACGCGTGGGAGATGAGAAATACAAAAGTGTTCTTACCAGTAGCTACTCCTAAATGGAGCTGCTACTTTTTGTATGTTTTCAATAAAGTTATTTACATCTGTAACAAGGATGCCACTATTTTCAAAGACTTCTCTGGAGACAGTAGGCTTTTCTGTAAAAAGAAAAATCTTTTTTTTGGTGAAAAATTCATTAATATACATTTTTTAAAGTAGCAGAACCCCTTTTACTTAAAAAAAGAAATCTTTTGTAAAACTCCCTAATACATGTAGGGGTGAAAAAAAGGAACTGATTCAAGTGAAGAAGAGGGTTTGAAGCTTTGGGAGCAGCTGCCTCCAGGGGCAGGGGGCGGGGCGCGGAATGCTTAAAACCAGTGACAGGGGCCGGCCCCGTGGCCGAGTGGTTAAGTTCGCGTGCTCCGCTGCGGCGGCCCAGGGTTCGGATCCTGGGCGTGGACATGGCACCACTGCTCAGGCCATGTTGAGGGGGCGTCCCACTTCCCACACCTAGAAGGACGTGCAACTAAGATACACAACTGTGTATGGGGGGGGCTTTGGGGAGATAAAGCAGGAAAAAAAACCCCAAAAAACCAGTGACCAGTGACAACTACAGTCATTCCCTAAATAAGTTTACAAGGCTTGGTTAAGATTCATATGAAACATTAAAAGTCAGAGGTAAGTATAAAATTAAATAAATACTTGTAGGAGATGATCAAACTTAACTGAAAAATTATGGGACAAAACGCACAAGACCTCTGCCCTGGCCTTATGCGCTTCTGTCAACACACACACCAGGCCAAAAGTTTATTCTTGGCCCCCAGTGGTCGGATACCCTACATATCCAATGAGTCCACTGGAAGGACATTCCTAGAGTTGACCTGTTTTATATTAACGACGAAAATTAGGGAGAACTAAGGCTGTGAATTTACCTGTTAGGAAAACGGCAAACCTGGCATGGATGCGCTGAATTTGCAGGTTTAGCAGACATTTCAAATGTTCTGCTTTTGTTGACGATCGAGAGTCACACTGGTGATAATGAAGCAATTCAATGATATTTACACTCTGGTATGATTTCAATATTAAGTTCTTCTTATGTGCAACTGAATCCACTCTGGAAAATACATAGAAATGTTAAGTTTAGATTCAGTGTAAGTTTGTGAAAGTTTATTTTTTTACTGTACCTTAATTTTCAGTTGTTTCCTACCTAGACTTTGTTTTGTGTTCACTGTAGACTCTTAGTTTAACCACTTTTTGTTACAACACACAAACTTGTATGAGATACTTTTTCGCGACACACTTGGCTTCCTAGACATCACTGCCCTGTTGAGTTCCCTCAAAATAGTACAAGTGTACCTACTCCTTTTGTAAATACAGTTTTAAAAAAATATGGGCTTCATTCCAAGCAAGAGGGACATCTACACAGTGATCTACTACCACTTCCAGCGCCCCTGGCAAGCCTTTCGTTAATTTCCAGTGGACCTCTTTTGGCATTCTTTCTTTGTATCGCAACGCTATGGTTCCAAATCTTTTAAGTCTCTTCAAAACTTCTATACTTATACTTTTTGGTCAGATAATCACCAACTTCATTAAAATTATGTAGCAGCTAGGAGTCTCTTAATTTCTCACCTCCCTTTAAATTTTGTTACTAGTTTTTTCCTTCCTCACCGTCAGCAGAACATGTTCCACTTTTAAACGTCTTTACCTGCTCCTGACTCCATCTCCCCAGTCTTCTCCATCACTCACATTCTCTCTCCTGCTTCACCAAAATCATACATATTCCCACTACTCTAGTGACAAGCACCAGTCACATCGTGATGATCAGTGTCCTTCCAGGCTTTATCCTTTGTATATATAAATTTATGTGACTGGCATCATACTGTATGTAGTTTTAAGATCCCAAATATTCCTTATTACTCTGAGTAGGAACTTTATGCGCTTCTACTTACTGTGTTTTGTGTGACAAAGATTATTTTGCATACATTTAAAAAGTTATATATCTACTTAGTCCATATATCTATTTTTTATATTTGCTGTAGAGATGAATCTGAGGCTGGTTTTGTAGTTACTGATAACCACCTATGGCTCTAAAATCTTTGTAAAAATACTGGTTTTTAAAAGCTCAGGTTTCTTTTTGGTTTTAGTTTTGGATAAATTCCCCCTAAATGTCAAAGGATATGATGAGTTTTCTGGTG